GAGAGAGAGAGAGAGAGAGAGAGAGAGAGAAAGTAGATACTGCGTATATACGTGTGTCTGTGTGTGCGTGCGTGCGCGCGTGCGTGGTGTGTGGGTGGGTGGGTGTAAAGCCTGTATAAGAGATCCAGTAAGTGCTCTTCCATGCTACCCGAAGGAGTTCGGGTCAACCACATCGTGATTCACGATGTAGATGTAAAATCAGCTGGCTCAAGCTTCTACCTGTATACATCCACACTTCTTTCCACTTTCTACTTGCTTTTTCCTTAGCACCACTTCTTGCTTTCAAAGGAGAAAGATGGACTTAAAACCGGGAAGATCGAAGTCTTTTTAACCGGATAGAAGGAGGAAAGAGGCGAAGATCTCGTGAGAAAGAGGACGCGAGTGCTTTAGATGATTGTACGCGAATTGTTTGTTTAGTCTTTCGTAAATCTTTATCTCGGATGAAAAAAGCGCTGGTCTTGAGAGAAGTATGAAGAGCGAAGTCTGCTGAGAAAATTATCTCATCTCTCAGGACAGTGCATACTTAAAGGAATTTACAATTCTAGGTCATCGATTATAATTTAACTGTCTTACCAGATGAATTTTGTCTACTCGACGATCGAATAATAAAAAATAATCACGTGTAAATTAATATATATCGGATTTCGTCCTGTAGACATTAGAGTCGTAACAGTGCGCATTATAATTATGTCATAATTCAGATTTATCGTATTCTTAATTACATTGGGAAATTATATTGGTGATTATATTGGTATTATATTGGTGAACACAGATGGATTGGAATTTCCTTGGCTTCGAGCATTGAAAGAGGTAGCAGGTTACTTTGGGGATGCGATGATGAGCTCAATATTAATCTATACGTGTTCACCGATACAAGAAAGGACATCGCAATCCTACCAAGGTCACGAAAAACTCACGGAATTTTATGAGCGCGATCCGTCGGCCGTAGATATCGAGGGTTTTCCCCGCGATGCAAGCGCGATGCATCGAAAGCATATCCAGGAGAGTAGCAGAACTACGTCCGGAGCGAAAAGCAACCGAGGAATGAGAATTCCGCTTTCGTTCTCCAAGATTTTGCACGCGTCAATTATGGTGTGTGTACCCACTCGCGATAATCCGACCCGTGTTTAGGACTCCTAAGGCCCGAAATCTGCACCCCGCGCATACGCCGGAACCCCTCATCCATTCCTTATCTATTCCACATTTATTGTGCAGCCACGTCTCTTACGCATACTACGAATACGTGACACACATACTACGTGCACAATACGCTCCCCGAGTATCCCCAGTCGGTTCACGGTGGCGTGAACTCGGCAACCTTTCAAAAGCCACTGTCCATAAAATAGATTATTAAACAATTAATAATGAGCTTGGAGGATAAAAAATAATTGGAGACAACAGTTTTACGTCAATGTCTGCATAACTATAGCTTATACCATTGATATTTGTTATCATTACAGTTTGTCTTATTGGCGTATTACTTACTACTGCTTATGCTATTAACGAGTAATTGAAAATTCGATTTTTTTTTTTAAGAGGAAATATTTTTATGCATATTCGTTAAATTAATTTTTATTAAATTACTTTTATTATGGAACGCGTAAGGAATATATAATTAACAAGTTAAAAACTTGGAAAACAAATAAAGAGACACAAATACACCGGGCAAACGTCAATTGAGTGAATCGTAATGTCGTGTGCTCAGAACATCAACTTTTATTTTATCGAGTCAATTATTCTGTCTTTTTTTTTCTTTTTTTTTTGTCTTTTTCTTTCTTGTCTTTTTTTCATTTTTTAGAAGGATAGGATCGATATCGACGTACGATTCAAATGTTAAACGACTATTCAAGAGACCGAATGAAGCAGTTTTTGTTATAAGTTCTTACCAGTTTTAAATCAAACAACTATTATACTAATCCAATTGACCGAGTCAAAATTTCTTGCCAATACCTAGTTAACTAAGAGAAATCCAAATAATCTAACAAAAAAAAAAAAAAACAAAAAAAACAAAAAAAAAAAACTGTCTGTAGTATTATTTAATGCTCGAACAAGAAGGTTTCTTTCGAGAACGAACGCTTTACAATTTCAACTATAGGCACTGCGAAGCGCCAGCTTAGAGACTTCTAAAGTGCCGAAATAATCACCTTATCCAGTGTTCCTAAATGCCATAAACACCGTGTTACAGACTTGGCTAATTGACTCGCTTCACAAAGTGAACAAGGAAAGGACATAACAAAATGAAGATCAACTAATGTCACTTTTACACACGGAAATGTTAGTTCCAGAGCCCGTGGCTAAACACCTCATTTAACATAAACACAACTGTGTCGCTATCGCGTTAAGATACGTTGTTTAAAAATATACTAATCCGGATCATTCCTCTTAAATTCACTATTAAAGCCTCGCAAACATCTGAAAAACAATTACATCTCACGTATGTCAGCAGCTCGTGTAAAGATGCCCTCTTAATTGAAATTATGTATATTGTCGCAAGGATGGTGCTGTGAGTAAATTTTAAATACCACGTATCGACAGATAGACAGAATGATTCTTGAACGGCCTATCGTCTACTTCGTCATGGAACATCCGGCAATGAGATTTTCCAATTCTCCTTTAACCTTCGTGTTTAAGTCGTGGCGATAAGACTGGGATATCTCATCATCGAAGCTTTCCGGAAACTACGTCTTTCAACGTGTGCACGGATAGTACGAACACCACTTGGGTCAATGCGTAACTGCATCCTCTCGTCTCACTCTTTAGACTAGGCAACGACGCCGACTGCAGAGTAGCGCTTAAATTTTACAACATCATTGATCATCGGCTAAAAACTCAGCTTAGAATATTACGACAATCCTTTACTAATACTCGCTCGTGCTTTTACCTTAAAATTCACATTGGAAATAAATAAATAAGGACATTTAGTTGCAGACACAGGGACGTTATTTTATATAAAAACTCGTGTGCCAAGTAGACGAAGAGGAAAATAGACATTTATAAAAATTTATTATATGACAATTGTTTATGTATTACTAAAGAGCATAGATGATACACGCACCAGAATTTTAATAATTAATTATTATTAATTGTAATAATGCGAGTGTTAATTGTTAACTGTATAAAATTAATCATTAAACTTTGTAAATATGATTTATAATTACGGAACATTATGGTTGATTTTAAATATTACTTTTCTTCTATTCTTTTTTTTTTTTCTTTATAAATAATAGAAACGATGAAGAAAAATTCTTTAAAAACGCTACTATGTAAAATTATTGGCAATATTATATTCTTTTTCCAGGGAAATTGTGGACAAAGTAATTTTTTATACAGGTTTTCGTCGAAATCCAAATGCTGTCTAATTACTCAGTCTTATCTAATCAAGATCTTGCCGATATCTTGCCACCGAAACATAGTCTAAATAATCTGAAAAATATCCAAACCTTTACTTAACTATGGAGTAGGGATATTGTAGGGCTTAAATGATTTTATCGTAATATTACTTCATATTCCCGAGAAATCTTATTAAAAAATACAAGAGTTTCTTGAGCATCGCATACGACATTTAGATGATAATGAAAATTTCTTACTTACCATTGCTATCATTTAAAAGTTAACAATTGCGAACAAATCAATTCTCTTAATAAACGTATTTAAAGAATAAATATCCATTATAATAATTTACATTACATCGGATATCTAAAAGTTTCGCCGTCATCTTTGATGTTTTGTGCAAGCTGGTAAACAATTTGAATGGCTTAATGCCGCAATTAACTAACTTTATCACGTTCACCGTTATTACATGTGCTTTTAGCATACGTCTTTATGTTATATAATTATGGTATTTATAATATATGCTAAATATTATCTTAAAAATTAAATCTAAATAATTATAATAATTGCAGTAAGTTCTAAATTATAATTATTTCAACAAAAAATCCGTCAAAATTCTCTATAAGTTATTAAAAAATAACACCTACCCTAAGTAAATGTTTTTACTTCTTCAAAATCAATTAAATAGACGTTTTGGTATTGTTGAGTAAATATATGCAATAAACTAAGCGTAGGTAAGAATCTTTACTTCAAGTGAAAACATTTAAAACTAAATGTAATTAAAGAATTTAATTTAGTAAAATATTTTAGAGCCACATAAAAAATAGTAATTATTTATTTTACTCTACGTCGCTATTAATTAATTATTTTTTATTCATTAATTATATTATTGTAATAATTATTACTTAACTATAAATTAAATTATAAATACTATAATAGAATATTTTTATCTAGTTGTAACGTTCTTAAACAATTGTTCATTATATTCTATTAGAAATTTCTATTTTATTTATAGTAGAATAATACAATTTTCTTAAATAGACATAGCAGGAAAAGCTCATACGTAGTTGCGAGTAAATTAATTAGACCAAATTGAATATGAAGCCATAAATTAAAGTGCTTTGTAATTTTATTATATATTATGATACTAATTAATAAAGTTTTTTTTTATATATTTATATTTTTTATTAAAATAAACAATTATTAGAGAATTCATTGATTATTTTACAAAATTTGCTAACCAAATTTATAATTTCATAATTGCATATACTTAACGATGATACGCAGGTTATTTCTTTTTAATATAAATGAATTTATTGTCAAGTTTTTCATTGAAAATGATTGCACTTAATAAATATAAATGCTTTAATAGAGAAGTATATGGTGTATTATTCAGATGAAATGAACGTGAGCTAATCAATATTTTTAATTGAAGCCAGTTGAAATAATATTCGACAATTAGTTATTAAAATAACCTAATTTTGGTATACCCGAGTATACAAGCACTTACACTTGCAAATAAAGGGAAAAATTATCATACCCAACAGAGTTTGCCACTCTTGGGCATTTAAGCGTCCTTTAAAAGTCTCTGTTACTTACTCGCTTAATTAAAACTTCGAAATCTAATCAAAACAATAAGAAATTATTAATTCTGTGCACTTTAATTTCAGAGCCAGTGACCGACATACTGGGTGGTCCAGATCTCTACATTGATCGCGGCAGTACGATCAACTTGACTTGCATCGTACTACACAGTCCAGAGCCACCGCTATTCATATTCTGGAATCATAACGACGCTGTAAGTAAACTCCCTTTCAAACTTCATAAGCCATTAACGTTAGAGGCTTTATTCGCTCGACTTCGCACTGAAATAACCAACAGACAGAAACAGTTAAGCGATCTCAGAAACTTTGCAATGTCGCTTGGAAAACTTGCTCACCACTTTGATTCGGCCGATTTTCATCGGACAACGTTTTCATTAACTTCCCTCAATAATAGTAGCAGATACATACGTATTGGGTTTTGTTATTGAGTTAAAGATGTTCTCGATTACTAATGTCGATGTGACTTTATATTTTAATTAAATAATGGAAAGTTTATAAGTAGAAATTTAGTATTTGGATGTATATGTTTAGCCCGTCATGTTTCACTTCTTTTGAAGTCAACGTATTATTGACTGTCAATCGCCATCTTACTTCACTCAAGTACCCTTCATTTTCTCCTTCATTTTCTCCTTCATTTCCATATCAGAATCCTATATTCCGCTTTTCTTCATACAAACTCCTTATCGTACATTATCGGCCCAATTTAATTATCGTTAAAATATTGACTAAAGCATAAGACTCATCTATTATATTGACATAATTTCCTATACTTTCTACTCGCTTTACTATTCTACATTGTAATACAATTTTTCTAAATGTATTATTACTTCGCATTTCGTGATAACTGGCATCCATATTTATAGAGAAGTATGTTTTACGCTATTCGTTTTTTGCTTTATTAATACTATTGATTATTCATTCGCCAACAAAAAAAATATTTAAAAATAAATACACGAATATAAGGCTCAGCAAAACCATCGATCCATCATCATTACAAGAGACTAATCTCAATATTGAAAGTCAAAATTCTTGTATGTTTGGTTGTATATTTCGCTGTAATTTAACCTAATTATTTCATTATTACTTTATTTTCGCCTGACAAAAGTTTGCTATTATAATCACAATGGTTTTTCCTATTTCTTAATCGTACGAGATCATTAATATGAAGTATCGTTGATATTTCATATTCGCAAACATTATCCAAATTTTTCTAAATTCTCAATTATAAAATTAATAAAAGTTGAAATTAAATTTAAAAACTGTCTATCATGATACTTTATTTTAATCTCTTTTGAAATAAAAAAGAAATTAATTAATTACCGTTTAATGTATTATAGAGCTTTCCGTTGTCATTTGATTTTATTTTAATTTAGTGAATTTTATAGATGTGCCTGAAAAAATTGAAATTCAATACACTTCTCATTGTTTTCGATAAAAATCTACAACTCACTCATGCGTATTCGTAACTGCTGAAATAATTAATATATTTACTTCGCAAAACTTTCTTCTCTCATAGCAATGAGCAACCGTTAAGATATAATAGCTTTTTGACTCTTTGAAAACAAATCTGTATTTACAAACATAAAGAATGTATTTTCTTCACAAAAGTTCGAATGAATATTAGAAAATATTAGATAACAAAATTATAATAACTAGTATTTACAGGAAATACAGTGAAATATGTATATTACTTGTAATTCAAGAAACTTAAAACTCTCTTGCTCGAAATCAAAACTTTTTTTTTTATTTCAAATAACACTATAATTTTATGAATATTGTCTTTATAGATGATTTTTCGTTAGCGCATGGGAAGTCCTCTAACTCCTCAATAATAATATCAACTTCTTAATAGCTTTATCTTGATACTCGCGAATTAGTATTTTATACTATAACGTATTCTATTGTAATTTATTCCTGATATTTAATAACTTAACGTACATAAAGGCTACAGAATCAAGTGTCGAAGGTTTTCATATACTGGAATCATTGTATAATTTTATATCATTTTAAATTTTAAATCATTGTCATTGTGGACTTGACGATGTAAAACATTATTTACCCTTGCATAAAGCTTCATCGTAAAAATAAAAGGAAAAGCAACAAAAAAAGAAAAAAAAACAAAAATAAATAAATAATACAAGACGTAAGGTGGTTTTATAGTAAAATTCCGGGCCATTATAAGTTTTACATCAGACCGAGCTCGTCTAATTATAATGGCCAAAGAATATTGACCCCGGGCAAATAAAAGTAAAAGCCTCGTAAAATTGATTAAAGCAAAGCAGGCTGATTAAAAGCAAAATTCAAGCTCACCACATAATAAAGGAGATAGAATGTCGCCAAGTCCGCCCGACTCTCACAATCAGTCTGACGCAGCAGCGCTTAGCTTAGTTTACGGGCACATAGCAGATAGCGAACCCTTGGCCAACACATACACGCTCATACACCAAACTCACGAAAAAAGAAATAAATCCGAGCAAGTGCGTATCGGTTTACTTAAGAGAGAAACGTGCCTCTTCGCAAAGGAGCTCCACCGGATGCTGCACATTTTTATTCAACGAAAAATTAAAAATGCCGCTGTTCGACATCTTTCCAAGGGAAGAGGATGGCTTCATGATTGTTTTATGATTTCTTAGCGATATTTATTTCGTCGAGATAAAAGATAAATATGAAAAATGATTGGCTGAGAGAGAGAGAGAGAGAGACAGAGAGAGAGAGAGAGAGATGAGAGAGATTCGCAAGTGTAAAGTTAATTTTATAATGTACATTTTGAACATTATATATAATGCGCATAATGCAAATTTTATAACATACGCAAAAAATTTATTGCACCTTACCTATAAGGCATAGAATATATGTAGTAATATATTAGTAATATATTAGTCCACTAGTTTTTGACGAAATTAATTTGAATCTAGTGATTCTGTTTTCTCTGCAAATATTCACACTACCATGTATATACACGCATTAATTATTCTTGCATCTGCTAAGTAAATTTTACTTACTAAGTATTTAAATCTACATAAGTTATTTATGAAGAAACTTATTAACCATTGTGCATAAAATCCGTATGAGGCAAACTGTATTGAAATTTAAATTATTTCATTTACTATGCAACAATTGAAGTTTTCAACTTTGAAATTTATAAAACAGATTATCGTTTGTTTGCCTACGAACAGAAGAGAACTATATATATAAAAATATCTATTTTATCATTAAAATAAATGTAATATTTTGTAGAAATCAAAGCTATGAGTTGTAAAGATATATTTCACTATTTATCATGAAATTTTTTATATTTATCATGAAATGATATTTCAATCCATAATTAAACACAAAGAAAATACGACAATTATACATCTACATGGTGAAAGAAAATTATACAGATTATTGAATGAAATATATTTGAAAAAATAATGCTCATAAAAAATAATGTATAAAACATTTATAAAGAAAAACAATAAATATCAAAGCATATGTGAAAAATTATTAATTACGATATTAATTAAGAAGTCAGTTTATCGTTAATTATCGTTTCTCTTAGTTGTCGATTGAATTATCTTTTTTATAATTATTTATTAATAATAAAAAAAAAAGAATTTGTTTATAACTTATGTACAGACATAGTTTCATAAATTCGTGTCTAATTAGTCTAAAGTAGCGATCAATGTTATAAACAATGGCATACTTCAGATTTTATGGGCATGAGGTAGGTAAGAAACCCTTACATAGTTACTGAATGTTTGTTCTTAAAAGCATCTGCAAAAAAACACTATTTTTGTTTTAAGATATACTTTACAAGAATATATATCAAAATCCAAATTAACTATATCACGTGTCCATTTTACACATGTATACAGATTTCGGACAGTCACTTATTTGTACAGAACATGTGTCACCGAATGAAAACAAGAGCACTTCATTGTAAAACTACTCTATAAAGCGAAAAACGCCACGGGGTTTAAAAGTTGAGTGCTACAAAGCCATGCGCATGTTTTTGAAATACGTAAACCCAGAGGAAAACAACAAATACCGAAATACGTTCGAATTTTACCCTCTGAAGTATATCCATATATACTCAACACATAGATATTGCACGGAGATTAAAAGCAGGCTAAAGTCTAAAAGCTTCGGACTTATGATATTTTGTTGATTATTATACTATAACGCTATAAAAATTCTTTACATTAACAAAATAAGAATAATAGTTAGTTATCTTGAATATTTAGGAGAAATTTGAAATTTCAGAGTCATACTTATTTGACGGCATTCTTATCTTATTTGTGCCACGATTATAAACTATTTCATTAATTAAACTCATTATTAATTACATAAATAAAAACGTTAAAAATAATGCTTAAATATAAACATCGAATACAAATATCTTTTTTAATAATATTAAAAAAAAAAAAAAAAAAAAAAAAAAAAAAAATAAAATTAACTCTGATATTTATATAATTATTTAATTATATATATATATATATATATTATATAAATAATAAGATTTATTAAATGATTGGAAATCAGAATGATTTTTTCTTGAAAATTGATAAGCAAATGAAAATTAAAAAACAAATAATTAAAAAATAATAAATTAAATATTAATCTTCGATATATAATTATTTTTCGTAAATTTCCTAAATTTCTGAAAATTGTAAAAAATATTTTTCTTTTCAATTGTTTTATCTTATGGGTCCATTGTCATATAGTTTATAAAACTTAAAACTTTGCAATAAAAAATGAATCTTTATAAATAAATATTTATAAGGTATTTAAAGAAAAACAGAAAAAACTTTGATCATTGAAATTCTATTAAAAGATGTTAAGTGCTTCTCTAATTTTAATAAATTAGTGTAAACACTTGAGATTCTTATATTAGTATTAAAAATAATAAATGGAGCTTAAAACAACATTTGATGCCTACAATTTTCCTCTAAGTGAATCATTACTCGCTTTGCTAAAATTAAAATTCTTATTTTTTTTACTTCAAATCTGACAATTAAGGTATTTAAGTAAATTATTCGCACAGATTCTCTTGATAAACGAATGTAAAAATAAGCTTTAAACAATCAATACGTAGTAAATTGGTGACTATTAACAAGTCAAATACATAAATCTGCAACATCATCTTACATCTTCGCGTATAATCTCTAGTATATTGTGAATATTAATAGGGAAACTTCAAAGTTCATCTCAA